TCGATCTTTTTCCATGGATGATCTCAAATAAGACAGAATGAGTTTTAACTTGCTAAAGGAGCGTTCACAGCTTGCAATAGACACAGAAATCGTAAGAAGGATTTGAAGTGCAATACGTAAATTAGGAAAAACATCGTTGCCATAAGAAATTATAAAGGAAAGTAGTTCAAATGGATTCTTTGGCATGGCATCCGAACGAGAACCAAGCAGCATTCTGCAGTCACATATTTCTGCCCACAACTCACTTCCATTAAAATCAGTTTTATAAAATTCACCGAGGACTTTGCATTTTTGGCTGATGGAATCTTTGTTAGTTAAATCAGATTTTAAAAGGCAATTTACATCAAGTAGAAAACCAAATTTTTCATTTAGATCTTTTAGGCGAGTAAACCGTACTGCAACTTCTTCCCTAAAACGATCAATGACGCTTTTCATTACTCGCACGATCTCTTCTTCTGCCGTCAGACTAACATCTTGCCCTACCTCACCGGGCATCAGTTTTCGCCTCCTTATCCTCCTGCTGATTTCCACTCCCCAGTGCTCGCATTTGGTTTTTGCACTTTCTAAAGCCTTCTGACACAACTCTTCACGTCCTCTGTTTAGCTCAGTTTCCAAAGCTACAAGATCAGCCGCTGCTTCACTAAAGTTCATAGTCGGATCCTGCAGACGTTTTTGAACCCGATCGATTTTCCCCAAAACTTTGTTCCAGAAAAAAAGAAGGACAAAAAAGTTAAAACTTAAAACATTTGCCAGCAACGTGTTTGCCTCACTTCTTGTCTCGCTTGTTTGGCTGGAATCTTCCGACAGTTCTTCGAGAAGTGATATTAGTTCGTCCAGCCCTTTGTAAACTGCTTTGACCGACTCAGCTCTTGCGCACCAGCGTGTGTCGGATTCGCGTTTTACCGTTATAGGTAGAGCTGTAGTTAATCTGTTCCATCGAATAGTTGAACAGGAAAAAAAATTATAAATTGTTCTTATAGTATCGAAGAATGTAACAACTTGGAAGTCTTGCTTTGCTGAATAAACTCCAGCCAAGTTTAAACTATGATTATCACAATTGACAAATAATGCGTGACAATTTCTTTTGAGCATCCGTTGTTGAAGGCCAGAAATATGACCAGCCATTACCGATGCATTATCGTAGCATTGGGATCTGCAGTCAGCCAGAGGTAAATCATCAGATTCTAGTTTATCTACGATGGCTTTTTCAATACTAGCAGCATCTTTGGCAATGACCTGTACAAATCCAAGAAATGATTCTTTGATGGTTACTTTCTTAGTTACAAAATCAACATCCACGTATCTAATAACCTCAGATAGCTGTTCACGGTGTGCTAGATCAGGAGTAGTGTCAAGCAAAATTCCGAAATATTTGTTTTTTCTGATATCCTTTAGCAGCTGATTTCTCACAGTAGAAGCCAATATGGATAAAAATTCGTTCTGAATTTCAGGGGACAGATAAGAAATAGCACCTGGATTTTGTTGGGCATGTTGCAAATGGTTAGCTAAAAGCTGGTCATATTGGGCCACAAGTGTGAGAAGAGAAAGGAAGTTTCCCACATTGGTTCCAGGTTCAGGGGATAAGTTTTCTTGGTGACCTCGCAGAGCTAAATTTTGAGATGCCAGGAACTTAATACAAGAAAGTAGTCTTTTTAAAACGTCACGCCAGCGTTGTTTTTCGACCTGAATTTGTGCCTCTACTTCAACATCTATTCCTTTTCTTAATACTATTCTTCGTTCTGCTTCTTTCCAGGTGGTAAAAGCTGCAGGGTGACTGGGGCTATTTTCGTGATCCCTAACCCTTTCTGTGTGTCTCCAATTTTTAAATCCTGTAACAGACTCAAACGATGATTGAGAGTTTGGTGTTGATGATGTGAACAGCAAACAACAAAAGCAGTATGCAGCTTCCTTGAGGGGTGAATAAAGCAGCCATGACCTGCTTACCTCTTCCCCATTAGCTAACTTACGCTGGAACCACACTTGTGTCATGCAACGCCCGCTTGATGTTGCAAATTGGGCATTTCGATTTTGAAACGCCAATGATCCTTGAGCTATCATTTCTGTACGTAGCCTCTGACTTATAACAGAAAGTTTTGACTGTTTGTCAAAATCCAAGTATCCAACATCACAAAACCGTAACACAGCAGGGATTGAACTTGTGGGATTATTCAGGACTTCATCATTGTTTAAATTAGTACTGCCAGATGCCTCGTTGATATCAGTGTCGTCCATTTTATCCGACTCGGCTGAATTGATCTCATCAGATACATGCAGTTTCGTTTCTCCTTTCTCTTCTGATTCAGATCTGGAATTTGATTCGCCTTGGGAACATTGTTCATTTTTGTCGGAATTGTCTCTTTTTAAAAATTTTGCCAACAATACACTAGACTTTACATTTGCTCCATCAGCCTCGCGATTTCGTTTACGACGTTCAGATCCGCTTAATTTTTTTGGAGGCATTTCTAAAAAGAATATTAAAATATTTAAGAGATTTTTTTACTTGTACATTACCTGTTTCTAGTTTCCTATGCTGATTCATAAAGTAGATGCATGTTTGAGTTAATAATATCCTAATGTTTAACCAATTATGTGTCAGCCAACGTAGCCAAAAGGACAGTGCAGTCACACATACTATTTTTTTCTCACCTATCGCTAGTGTTGCTGGAGTAAACACTGCGGTTAGAAACAAGGTTAGAATTTGACCACCGGCTTTTGGCTTATCTATAATTATAAAACACGTCACACTATTTTGATAATTTTCCCCGTTCCTCCAATTCTCAGACAAGGTCCCAAAAGTTCGATCCCCACCCTATCTGTTAGGAGTCTGACGTGATGTATGGATAATTCCATGGTTAAGGGTAGAGAAATGCTGTTACGCTAGAGAGTACCATAGAGGTACCTTTTTAAAACGCATTTTATTTAGTAGAATCTAGCGAGAAGTCACATAACATCAGTATTATTATGTAGGTCATTTTGAGTACATAATGCTAACGTAACCTAACTAAAATACGTTTTAAAACTTTTAAATAATTTCACTACTCGAACAAATTTAAACCTTAAAAATATCCAAACTATTTTTGTTTGTAAAGGAAATTAATTTATACTATTTTAAATTAATTATAATACAACTCTATAGCCATGCTCCTAATTATGTAACAATAAAATAAAAGAATAAACTATAAAACTTACCTGGTATGTAATTCAATAACCCTTTCTCTTCTTTTAACAAAATGAAATGAAGTGAGCACGTTATATAACGACACAGACGACATGTTAGCTACTATTTAATTTGTAAACAGTACTTGGACGGAGCGGTATAAACAAAACATGACCGTCGAAATAAAAAAAAACAAAAACGGCACTCGTCATCAATGTTTATACAAAAAGATAGGGGGGAAAATGTAGCCTGTCGTCAGTTAATTGCTCACAAGTCTTTTAGCAGATGAAATTAATTTAAAAATAAAATAGTGTTATTAAATAATTAATTTAATCGTCGCTTTGGCGCCCCCCTAGACCCGGCGCCCGGGGCGGCCGCCCCCCCCCCCCCCGCCCCCCCCTAGCTACGCCTCTGATGCACTCTCGCAACCTTACACTCCAAGACCTTCTTTGCGGTGGAGCCAAAAAAAAAACGAATTAGGAGAACGACTGGATGGTGAAAAAAAATGGAGAAGGACGAACGGGGGTGTTAAGGTATGAAGGTGTAATACATAAGAGGGGCGGGGGGATGTAATACATAAAGCTAAAGAGAAGGACGGAGTACGAGCCAAAAAACAAATAACAAATCTGCGATATAATGGAATAAAGGAATTGATATAATGGAAGAAAGGAATTGATATAATGGAATAAAGGAATTGATATAATGGAATAAAGGAATTGAAACTTTAACGGCAGCCTGTCGAGTGTTGGTTTGAAAATAGGCTGACGGTGGTTTGTGTACGTTAAACAGGACGGATTCCCCCCCCCCCCCCCCCCCCCTCTCTCTCCCCCCCTCTCTCAGACACGGTTCGTACCTCGGCCGTCTTGATGGTTTTGAATAAGATGTGTCGAGACTGCGATTGATATGAATTTTATTATTTACTTCGACTGAAAAAAATTGTTCAAACACACGAAACTTGTTCTTTGTTATTCCCGTGAAGATTCTATCGGATTAGACCCAAGACGGTCAATGTGTCGCATAATCGGATATGATTTGGTCATTGTAGGAGTTTTCTATTTTCCATGTCGATTGAAGTTATAGGCCTGCTTATATTTTAATGAAGTTAATTTAGACCATAGTTTTCTTGGTCATACTTCTCTAACAACCGCAGTGTTTAAGCAGATGATTTTAGTCAAAGCGGCAATCTAGAAGAATTTTAAGTCCCTCTCATTTGTTTTTTAGCAGGTAAAATTAGTTTATTATGATGACAGACATTTACAGTTGATAGGACCATAGCACCAGGCCTATGGGTGGGACCATAGCACTGCTAGACGCCAGTGGGTGGGACCATAGCACTGCTAGACGCCAGTGGGTGGGACCATAGCACTGCTAGACGCCAGTGGGTGGGACCATAGCACTGCTAGACGCCAGTGTGTGGGACCATAGCACTGCTGGACGCCAGTGGGTGGGACCATAGCACTGCTAGACGCCAGTGTGTGGGACCATAGCATTGCTAGACGCCAGTGTGTGGGACCATAGCACTGCTACACGCCAGTGTGTGGGACCATAGCACTGCTACACGCCTGTGGGTGGGACCATAGCACTGCTAGACGCCAGTGTGTGGGACCATAGCACTGCTACACGCCTGTGGGTGGGACCATAGCACTGCTACACGCCAGTGGGTGGGACCATAGCACTGCTAGACGCCAGTGGGTGAGACTATAGCACTGCTAGACGCCAGTGGGTAGTGGGTGAGACTATAGCACTGCTAGACGCCAGTGTGTATGATTGTAGAATATCTGTAAAATTTGCATGTGCTAAAAAATTGAAAAAAAAAATGGTATAAAAAAAACAAAGTACTCACCATCAACTCGTGCATCTGTCCTTGGTTTTCCTTCTTGAAGTACTCTGGGAACGAGCCTAAAATAGGCCAGCCCTTGGGGCCGGGGAGGTCCATGAAAGGTTTCAGGTCCGCCGTCGACTCCGACGACGCATCCGGTGACGCTGACCTCACTCTGGTGGCCGCCGCAGCCTCGTCGGGTGATGACGTAGTGAACATGGCCCTGGCCTGTCTCAGAACGCGAGCCCCTTGGCCGATGGCCCGTCTAAGGGCTATGTCGCTCATAGCGATCTGAACAAGAAAAAAATGAAGAAAAAACGCGATATTATAATGGCAAGCAGAAGTGTAAAGTAGATGTATGAATAGGTGGGCGCAGACGACGACCTGCCCCACGCAGCAGACGATAGAATCCAATGAAATCCCACCAGTGACGCGTGATGACGAAACACGTAAAGGTAAAGCCACACCGATCGCTCCCCGGGGGTACGGGGATAGCTCGCGCGTGGTCGGGCCTCTAGGAGTAATAAATGTGTCAATGAAATCTTGACATTAGCCGAGGTGGCGAATAAAAGGGTGGAATACGGTATTCAAAAGTGGGAGGGGGTGGGATGTTTGGATTTTTTAAAAATGTCAGTGGCTCATATTTCATATCACTTAGAACTTGTTTTGAAAACTTAAACCTCTTTGAAAAATGAGTACTCTTTATATTCGCCTAAAGCAAACATATTTTTTATCAATAAAATAGAATGATTACAAGTAAAATTGTGCGAACTTATTACTAGACACGTGGTAAGCCTTATAAAAAAACCATCAAGTCTACAAAACAGTAATCTTCCTTGATCAAAGAACATCAAACAGTAAATAAGTGTCTATGGAACACCGTTTTATTTATTTTTTATGGTATCACAATACGCTATTGTGTACATCCGCGGCGTCTGAGCATAAAACAATAAGGTATTAATGCGCCGAGCAGCCGAACAGCCGACGTGAATGGACGGCTAGATAGCAAGTAACGCATCAAGGCTGGTTTACGTCGGAGAAACTCGTGAAACGCGAAATAAAGAAACTCGCTTTTGTATTTATTTTCACAAGAATGGCGGGATTTTTTTTTCTTTCTTTGTATCCGTGTTGTAAACACGGACCTTATTCAAACAAACAGGAGAAACTAGAAGATGTTGCTGGCTTTGAGAGTATTTTTTTTCTCCATCGGTGGGCGTGTCCAGTATGTGCGCACTAAATAAAAACAATTCAAAAGGTGGCGAGGGGGAGGATAGGGAGGGGTACATAACTCACACTTTGGAATTTGATATGCTTTTGTTGATGTGGGCGGGTGATGCTCGCTATGTTTTTCTGGGCCATTTATTGGGTTATAAATTGTTATGTTTTAAGACATACTCTATACACATACTAAAATACGTACACACGAATAAGATCCAAAAGGAATTTTCTTCCATTTTTTTATACATACCTCAACGAATTTGGGCTTTAATTAAATCTCTAGACGCCTACAGAAATATGCCATGCGGTCATAACATACAGGAGTTATGTCTATAGTATGTGTATGTATGTATGTTGGTATAATTTGATGTAACTAATTGTGAACAACTAACATCAACCATGCTAACCAGCTACTGGAAAATAGGAGACAAAACAAAAAAGCAAAATCAATTTTTTTAACATCTTAAAGAGACAGACAACAGTAAATTAAATAAAGGAAGTAAATACAGTAGTCTATACAAATACAATACAGGTAAGACAACATTTTTTTTTTCAAAAATGTAAGCAGTATATTGATACTTGAAATATTTTTTTTTTACAATACAACGGAGTTTTATTATATTCCCATGTCATTTCTAATTTGCATACAGTGCCTAATAAACTGTTTGTTTGTGTGTGTTTGTGTGTGCTCTTAAAATATTTTACATTTTTAATCGCTTTTAAGAAATGACACAAAGGTACCCCACGGTATTTTTAAACTAGCCGTAAAATCGTCTACGCCCCCCCCCCCCCCCCCCCCCAACACCTCAACCAAATCTATAGATAAGAATGAAGAGAAGAAAGGCAACGTTAACTGCGAGTTGTTTGAAGGACGTAAACATTGTTTTTTTTTTAATGTGTGCAGATTTTTTTTTTGGGGGGGGGGGGGGGGGCATAACAAGGTGTTGGCTTCAGTGTTTCTTCCAGACTTTTTTTCTCCGGGGGTGCACTTGAAATCTTCGGGGGGGCGGTAAACTTTCTTCGGGGGGGGGGGGGGCGGACACTGTTAAAAGTATATATTTTCTATATAAATTATATAAATTTCATTTCGTTCGGGGGGCGGTAAAAAATTTTCGGGGGGGCTTCGACCCCCCCCGAAGAGATGCCTGGAAGAAACTCTGGTTGGCTTAGGTTTTAGCCACAGGTTTGATTGTGTCAGGTTAGGTTTAAACTGAGGTGTCAGTAAAGGTTTGGGCTAGAGGTTTGCTAATGAGCTACGGTAAAAGGTGTACTTTATATTAAGGATTAAACTTTGAAGAAGGAAATGAGGCATACATACATACTCACACATAACACACATACACACACCACACACACGCATAGATAAAATAGTGACCGTTTTCTTTGTTATGAGCTTGAATGTTTATTGTATGGCTTTGATACTTATCCCCACCGTAGTACAAATCTTAGGCTGATGTACTTGTATTTTTTTTATCTCTACCGAATAACACAACTTAGGCCGATGTACTATATAGAGCAGGCACCAAAATATCTTAAGTAACATCGTGTTGAATCCATTCATCTCTTCTTCACAAGTAGGATTCAAGAATTTCTCTCTCACATACAAAAACTTGCTAAAAAAAAGTCTGATCTACGTAAGCATAGAAATCCTTAGACAAACAAACCATTTTTTTATGCTCAGATTTTTTTTTTCTATTTTTTTTTTTCGGAATTGCAAGAGAGGTTTTGATAAAAGGGGACGGTGGGTGTAGGAGTGAGATTGTTGCAATAGAATGTGTCGGTGTAGATTGTGTGAAGGCTGTTTCAGGACCTTAATCACGCGAGTAGTAGTAGTAGTGGTGGTTTGGAGGCTTTAAGATGGTGTAGATATAGTAGCTAGTTGTACAAGTAAATAAAATTTATCTGATATAGGTAGGTGGCGTGTTGTAGAGCGAGATGGGGGAATTAAGAAAGTGTGGATACTTCATTCTTAGACAATAATCCGGTCGCCTCGTGGTGGATGATTAAATCATCGCTCCTACATTATGTCGAGGGTGAGTGTTCGAATCCCGGAAGGAAGAATCTACGCTAAACTGGATGTACCCATAAGAACTTTTAAAATATTCTTAATAGATAATTAAACATTATAAGTCTTTTAACAACCTGTAAATACCACCACCCTTTTTTAAAATTCTACACCCTTCTTATAAGTAGCTCCACCCCTTTCGTAACTCCACCCCTTCTTAAAAGTAGTTCCATTCCTTTCGTAACTCCACCGCTTCTTAAAAGTAGCCCCATTTCTTTCGTAACTCAACCCCTTCTTATAAGTAACTCCACCCCTTTCGTAACTCCACCCTTTATTAAAAGTAGCTCCACCCCTTTTGTAACTCAACCCTTCTTATAAGTAGCTCCACCCCTATCGTAACTCCACCCCTTCTTTATAAGTAGTTTCGGCCCTTTTCTATTTCCCATTCTACACTGCTGACATAGAAAAACACACGCTCACTAATTATAAGACAGTAGTGCAGAAATATGGGTGCCTGCCGCAGTGGTGGGGGTGGGGGAGGGGGTGGGGTGGGGCTGTGTGCTGGCAAGACAAGGAGGGTAAGGCCTCGGTGAGGAGTTGTCTTAACAGATAAAAATAGACAGAGGTCAAGGGTCGGGTTAACAAGGTGCTTGTGTGACATAGATTTGGGGAATGGGGTTTAGAGGAAGAGTCATCGAGAGGGGGGGGGGGGGGGAGGGGAATAGATGGGGGAGAGGGGAGATAAAAGGAGGGAGGGGTGTAGTTCAGGGTCTAGTATAGACATACAAAAATGTTTCAAAGATCTTTGAAAGAAAGAAAAAATAAAGAGAGAGAGAGAGAGAGAGCAAGAAAGAAAGATTAGAACGAGATAACATTAATTTATATTGGATTGTGCCTCTCATGTTTATGATTCTGAGTAAAAAGGGCTTTATCGCTACTTCATATAAATAAAACCCTAAACATCAGTTGCGCTTGCAGTTCAGTAAGAATTGTTTGCTAAAGCAACATCTAAGTTGGGTTAAATACGAGTAGATATGTAGACAAGGTCCAGGGTAGGGGAGAAGGCTAAACCTGTCTGAAGGCCATTCGTCATTTATAGGTCATGCCTGGCTTTGTTTTATTTGTAAGGGGGGGGGGTGTCTAAATTATCAGTAGTAGGCCTACATCTTTTTGTTAATAAAAAAACGGTAGGTGTATATAATGTGTAGATATAAATATGCATATATATGGGCATATATACATACGCATAAACATACATACACACGCACATAAATATATATGTATATATATATATATATATATGTGTGTGTGTGTGTGTATGTATATACTATACAGATAGATAATAGTAAATATTCTAAAACTTTAACAAGAAAAATCACATTTAACTCTTCATACAAACCTGTTACATAAAATATAAGTCTCCTGCAAAAGTCAGGTGAATAATTCCCACTGATATAGATCTAGGCACATAACGGCAACTCTTCGATATAATCTATGAAAGACAACCCCTCAACCAAGATCGGCACGGAACGGCAACCCTTCCATGTAAGCTACGAACGACAACTCTTGAGCCGAGATGGCCACAGAGTGACAACTGGTTTACGGATATAAACACACGGCCGACAACTCCTCTTGTAAAAATGAACTCCCCGTGTCTAGCAGCCAGTTACCGAGTTGTGTGACGAGACTCTCTTGACCGGAATGTGGACCAACGTCTGGAACCCTGCCGTCTGTCCGTTAACCCCGACAAGGACACGACTGCACTCTACCCCAGCTGACAGAGTTACGTAACCTGGTTATCTCACCAAGGATGTGGCTGTCACCTTTAGAAAAACACCGAGGACAGGCGCAGGGGTTCTAAAAATCTGACTCGAGCTGGGGGGTCGGAAATTCTTAAGAGGGTCGCGTCTCTTAATAAGTAAGGATATATTTGTGGGGTTGCAACTTATAAAAGAATGTGGTTTACATTAAGAAATATGATTGCTAAATCATTTAGGATCGAAAAAAAAACTAGAAATTAAAAAGACTTTTAGAGACGACAATGATCCTTGTATAGTATAATTTAATC